TGTATGGATTGTGATAAGAGTTGTATGAGCCCCTAATAAAATGATTTGAAGAAAAAAAAAGAAAGATGCTTCTGTCTTGCCAGCCTGAGCATTGGGTTTGTGCTGGGAAAGGTGGGGATAGGCCAAGTTGTGGAGGGAGGCAGTCGACAAATATTATGTTAACTAACCCTTTAGAAAATGAAAAGACGTGGACCGAGGTCAGTGGCAGCTGGAGAGAGAAGAACTGGTTTGCCAAGGTCAGCTGTGGACGTGCCTGTTACAGGTATCTTTAAAAGAAGCCTGGTACTGCAAGCAGTTTGCAGTCAACTACTAGCTGAAAGGTTGGTGGTTCAAATCCAGTCAGCAGCCACTTGGAATAAAAGGTCAAGCAAGCCCTATGCTAATGTAGATGGCATTACAGAAACACCAGGCCCACTGCCAACTCATGGATTCCCATTCATAGTGACCCTGTAGGACAGGGTATAATGGTCCTGTGAGCTTCCAAGACAGTCATCTATGGGAATGGAAAGCCTTGTCTCCCACGGGACAACTGGTGGTTTCACACTGCTGACCTTGGGGGTAGCAGCCAGATGCATAGTCACTACACCACGGGGGCACACCTTATCAATTGTTCTCCCTTTTGACCTACTTTAAATTTGTTCTAGTTTTTATTATTTTCTTCTTTCTTTTCCATTGAAGTTTTCCTGTTATTGTTGAGTTTGGTTTTTCATTTTTGTATCTTTTTCTTTCCATAAAATCCAACTGAAAACCCCAAAGGAAACAACCTGACCATCACCAAGTTAATTCCAACGCATAGCTACTGATACCCTGTTTCCCCGAAAATAAGACAGTGTTTTATATTAATTTTTGCTCCCAAAGATGTGCTAGGTCTTATTTTCAGGGCCTATCTTATTTTTCCATGAAGAAGAATATGGTACACATTTATTGTTGAACAGAAAACAGGAAATGATACTGTACCTGTATGCGGTACGGTAGTAGTTGTCATCACAAACCAGCATAACCAGACAAACTGTGAATCCTAGAGTATCAAGGCTTTCTGGTTGCTACCATTATTTCCATGTACAACAATCTATGGTACATTTACTCGCACTTCCTGTCTGCTCCGGCTGCGCTGCGGCCAACAGTGAGCTGCAGGGCGGCGGCCCACCACCGCTATAGTCCAGAGTCCAGAGTTACGGTAGCTTCTGGGGGCCTTATTACTGGGGAGGCTTTATGTTCAGGGAGGTCTTATTTTCGGGGGATGCCTTATATTTCAGCGAGAGGTAAAGCTGTAAGTAGGTCTTATTTTCGGGGGATGTCTTACTTCTGGGGAAACACGGTAGAACTGCCCAGGAGCAGAAAGCGTCAGTGGTCTCACGAGGGCAGCTGGTTGTTTGGAGCTGCTGACTCTGGTGAGCAGTCCAATGCCTTACCACCGCGCCACCAAGGCTCCTGGGTGTTTGGGAAATAAGCCAAGCAGTAACTGGATTAGTCCTTTTTTCGGGGTATGGCAGGGGAGGTTGGGGGGAAATGGGAGCTATTAATAATGAGAACAAGAAAGAAGAAAGTGCTCAAAAATCAGATGTGGTAGTGATGGCGTAACTCTGTAATATGGTTAGACCATTGACTTGTATGCTATGTGAACCATATGTCAATAAAACTGCTAAAGAAAGAAAAAGCATTTGCCTTCCTAGTTAATAGTAAGCACCAACAGGAAACGTATTTTAATTAAATATATGTGTGTATATGTCACTTTCTTTCGAAAGAAAGAAAGACCAAAAGAAAAGGCCTGAGGCAGTTCTACTTTGTAGGGGTCACCTTGAACCAGAGACAGCTGCCATGGCTGTATCATTTGGGAGTAAACAACAGGACTCTCTCTATTTTATAGCAATAAGTGAAAGTCAGCATTTGTCAGTGGGTGGATCAACACTGAGAGAAGGTCACTTGAGGTCCAGCCTGCGCCTGCAGCCTCTGATCCCTCTACACCAGTGGTTCTCAACCTTCCTAATGCTGTGACCCTTTAATACAGTTCCTCATGTTATGGTGACCCCGACTATAAAATTACTGTTGTTGCTACTTCATAACTGTAACTTTGCTACTTTTATGAATTTTAATATAAATATCTGATATGCAGGATCTATTTTCATTGTGACAAATTGAACATAATTAAAACAGTGATTAATCCCCAAAACAATGTATAATTATATATTGTGAAATATCTATTTCTAATGACAAATAAATGAAGTTTTGTTTTGAAGCATGGTGTAACATGGGTAACAGTCTTAATATAACAACAGTAAGTTACATTGCTCCATTTTGCGACAGTATTACTAAAAAGCCAACGTCAGTGCTAAGGTTGAGATAGCTTCTTTCTCACCAGATCAGCATATCTGCATGTGGGTGGACCCACCTGGAGATGGATAGAGGAGCGGTGTCTCAGTTCCTAAGACCATCAGATATATGGTTTTCCGATGGTCTTAGGCAACCCTTGTGAAAGGGTCGTTTGACCCCCAAAGAGGTCTCAACCTACAGGTTGAGAACCACCGCTTCAGATGCTTGCTCCACAGGTCTGGGCCCCTGTCTAATTTTTCTTTGTTGCTTTTCCACAGTGCTCGCGTGTCACAAGTCAGCAGTGTTTCGACAACAGGAGAGTAAGTGTTTCAGACTTTTTTTTTTGGGGGGGAGGGGGGCTTTTTCATACAGTAAAGCAGGTCAGATGGTTAGGACAATAAGCAATCCATTATTACCGTAACAATAATGCCACTCAGAGGATAGGGTTAAATAGGAAGGCCCTTTTTGAACGTTGGGCAGAATGATGAAGCCCAGAAATAATTACAACCCTGGAAATTCATAGGGTCACTGTGAGTCAGATTCAACTCAATTTCAGTGGGCATTGAGTTTTTGAAGTATCTTACATTGGCAAAAAAAAAAAAGAGGGGGGCCACAAAAACAAATAAGGCCACTGCCATTACGTAGAGTCTTACTCACAATGGCCCTGTAGGACAGGGTAGAACTGCCCCTGTGGATTTTGAGGACTGTTAACTCTTTACAGGAGTAGAAAGCCTCATCTTTCTCCCACAGAGTGGTTGGTGGTTTCGAACTACTGACCTTGTGGTTAGCAGTCCAGCGCATAACCACTATGCCATACCATTAAAGGCTGAAGTATGTCCTTACTTCCTATGTCATTGATTTTATTTAGCTTACATTAACTAACTACCTGCAAAGTGCCAAACCTAGTGTAATTTCAAATAAGCCTTGGATTCTGCTTTCAGGGACTATCCTGTTGAATAGGGGCCCAAAAAAGGAAAGCAAATTAGTGAGGGAGCAAACCCTTCCTCCAACAAGCAGCCACGTGCCCTATTAACTATGTCAACCACCTGTCTTTGTTCCCCAACGGCCACCAATTGCTCTTGAAAGAAAATCTAAATTCCACTTATCTGCCTATGCCTACCTCTTTGATTGCTCACTACCTATCAGTCACATTATCTTTCTGAAACAGCCCAAATTTATTCACCACCTTGAGTCTGTAGATGGTGCTTTGGGTGAAGGAATGGGCTGCGAACCCTAAGGTCAGGGCATCAAACTCATCAGTCACTCCACAGATGAAAGCTGAGGCTGTCCACAAAGACTGACAGTCTCAGACGCCCTAAGGAGCAGCTCTCCCCTGCCCTAGATATGTTCGCCACAAGTCAAAAATAGATTGCATTGCAAATGGGTTATATTTGGGTACTACCCTAGAGGTTGGTGGTTTGAACCCACCGAGTAACACTACAGAAGACAGATAACCCCTAACTGTAAAGATTACAGTCTGTTAGGAGTAGTCAGGAAACCCCTGTGAAGTGCAGTTCTGCTCTCTACCACACGGGTTGGCCAAGAGGACTCTTCCTCCTGATGGCAATGGGATTGCTCCTGCCTCAGTGACTTTGGTATTGGCTGTACCTCGTCTTGGTCAGCACTCTTATCGTTCACCTCTGTTTTCGAATGTCATCTCATCTGAAAACCCAGCCCTGACTATCCTTGGTCATTCTTTGTCCATCCATTATTCTGCTTTTTAGAGACTAAATCACGATACAAAATGTTTCCTCCCCGCTCCCACTATCATGATACGAATTCTACCTTGCAAGTCTGGCTAGACCAGAGGAGGTACACTGGTACAGATAGGAACTAGAAATACAGGGAATCCAGGGCGGATGATCCCTACAGGACCAGTGGTGTGAGTGGCGATACTGGGAGGGTAGAGGGAGAGTGGGTAGGAAAGAGGGAACCGATTATAAGGAACTATATGTGACCTCTTCCCTGGGGGATGGACAACCGAAAAGTGGGTGAAGGGAGACGTCGGACAGGGCAGGAGATGACAAAATAACGACTTATAAATTATCAAGAGCTCATGAGGGAGGGGGAAGGTGGGAGGGAGGGGAAAAATGAGAACCTAATGCTGGGGGCTTAAGTGGAGAGGAAATGTTTTGAGAATGATGAGGTCAATGAATGTACAAATGTGCTTTACACAATTGATGTATATATGGATTGTGATAAGAGTTGTATGAGCCCCTAATAAAATGATTTTAAAAAAGAGTATAAAAAATGAAGCCAGACTCACTGTCATTGAGTCAGTTTCTGATTCACGGCAAGCCTGTAGGACAGAGTAGAGCTGCCCCTGTGAGTTTCTGAGACTGTGACCATTTACAGGAGTAGAAAGGCCCGACTTTCTCCCAAGGGGTGGCTGGTGGTTTCAAACTGCTAACCTCGCAGTTAGCACCTCAGTGCATAACCACTATGCCACCAGAACTCCTTCATAAGAGTACAAGCTCTGTAAAAATAGAGACCGTGTCTATTAGAGCTGTTGTTATAGCCCTGGGAGCTAGTTACATGGTATATATTTGGCATTAAATGCATATCTGTTGAATGACGTGAATGAATAATTCCTTGCCTGAAGACTTTTCCATCACACCTACTTCTCCTCCTTTCTTGCTGGGACATGTGTGGGCTTCCTGGAGCATCCTCAGCAGCAGGGATCGGGTGTAGGAGGTGGGGAGGTTGTAACACATTCCCGAGGAAGAGAGAAGACTTAGAAAAAGCCCTCATTGGAATGAATTTGGCCTTTTTTTGGGTGTTTTTTTTTGTCATCTAAGGAATCAATTAGAAGGGAGACGTAACTTCCGTTAGCTTTGTGCATTTGAAAGTGATCTCAGACCTTAACAAAATGGAAAGTTCCTGCCAATTTCTTTCCAGTATCTCCCAGGTGTCTTCTGTGGTTTGAAAAAGTCATGGGACTGATCTGTACATCTATGTTAATTTACCCACATTCTTCTGCACCCCTGCTATGTTACCTTGAATCATTTGGGACAGAGAACCCTAAGTATAAAAGTTCTAAGGCCCAAAGTATGAGACTATACTTGCTTATTGTTCTGTTTTGAGATATTTTTGTGAAATTACGACGATTCTATTATAAAAGGTGTTCTTACTGTTTGGTGCCATCGACCCTATAAGACAGGGTAGAACTGCCCCTGCGAGTTTCCAGGACTGTAACACTTTATCACTGTAGAAAGCTCCATTTTCTCCTTATATATATGCATACATACATATTTTGAGAAATACAAGTTTAGTTTTCCTTCCCAGATTATTCAAAATTAGTGAAGATACAAGTAGTCTTCATTGGAGGTTTACACAAAATTAAAAATGATACCATTTAATTTCTCTTCCTGCATTCTTTTCAGCCCTTTTGCTTACCTGTTTTCCTCCATTTCATCAATGTAAATCTTTCATTACAACTCCAACAACAATAAGTTTATTTATATGCATTCCCAGTGAATAGACCAGAATTTGGGGATGAGTGTGCCATGCTATTATGCATTGTAATGGTCCTGATGACATTTTGTTGTTTTATTTTGTTTTGAATAGCATTAGTCCCTATAACAAGGATCTAAATAGAGAATGGGCGTTGTAAAATTATTTTTGCAAGTTTACTTTGCAAATCACTTTCTGCAGAGCCAGAATTAATTCTAGAGGAATTTTTTATAAGAATAAATTTATTACTATCCTGTGAGAATAAAAAGATATCTTCTCCCATTCTGCCTTATATTAAATGACCCTTATTTCCCGATTGCCTCCTATAATGATGGCTTTCCTCGATGTGAGCACATCAGTAACCTTGCCTTGGAAAGATGTGAAACGCAGGCATCAACATAGTGGAATTTTAGTTTAGATTTGTTTTTAGCGCACCGTACAAATATTTTAGGGAAGAATGTTTTGTACATTGTCTTTGCTCAAATAGATGGAGGAGATATTCCAGTGGTCCGGTAACGATATTTTCAAGATTATGAGCACATGTTTTCTTCATTTTTGCCAGACTCTTAGAAAGAACTATCCGATCAGCTGTAGAACAGCATCTTTTTGATGTTAATAGTCCTGGAGGGCAAAGTTCAGAGGACTCGGAATCTGGCACGACACCCGCATCTTCCCCGGCATCCATCCGACAGCGACGGCGCCAGCCCATGGAGCAGGATGACCTGCGTCGAGTCACAGACAGGTGAGTTGGCTACCACCATTCTTCTTGCATTAATATGCTCTTCGCCTTTTTTTTAATGCACACCTGAATTAAGCCATATGTTTTCATCCCACCTCGTAGCCCGCTCCTATTTCAGTATTTAGGATAAAACTTAAAGGTTTTGTTTGTTTGCTGGCCATTTTAAGCTTAGTTATTAATATTTGAGAATTCACAAGTGGTTGAATAATTATTTCCATGTCATCTGTATATTTGGGATGGTGTAGAAAGTTGCCTCTGATGTAAGAAACCCTACAGTTACCTCATAAAGTTACCTGAGTCTGGAGTCCTGAACCAGGGAGGAAGAAGGTGCCTATCCTGAAACAAAGTTGATTTTACATCTTGTGTCAGATGGCATGCACTTGACAGTTTGTGAGCCAGTCAACATATTTCCCACTCTATTTACCTCACTAAGTGCCAAACTGCTGGCACCATAGTCCTTTGACTGCTGGTTATATTTTAGAACAAGAAAGGTTGAGCCTAACTCTAATCAAAAGAGGAAAAGGCCAAGTTCTTTATTATTCTAAAGATTCACTTTAAGAATTCCCACAGCATAGGTATCAAGCTTAGGAAGCTTTGTTTTTCCTTCAAGGATTTGATGGGCAAGAGATGAGCAGTGCCCGTTTGTGTTATTTAATAACCAGGCTTTAGCTTATCTAGTATCTAACAGATTATAGTCACATGGCATTTTTCTGAAAGGTACCCAGCTTATTTTTATCTACTGTACCAGTTAATCTCCATAAGGACCTTGTAATGACCTCTCGTAAATGTCAAAGACTGGACCAGACTGACATCTGGACTCTTAAAGCACATCAAAATCTTTATTGAGGGAAAAAAAAAGAGAGACATCTATTGCTTAAAGAGAGATACAAAAAATAGTGATGAGTGGTATAAATCAATTCCATGCTGCACATCATTTGAATGTTTAAGGGCTATATAACAACTGCAATTATAGAAATAAAGTCATTATCCATATTATACCAGAAATAAAACTGCTATCAAGGATATCACCAACTGACTTTTCAAGTGGCATATGTGGAGTTTTCTCCTTTTGTTTTGTTTTCGTCTCTTTTGAGATTTCTCTTAGAGCTAGTAGCTAGGCCGGGGAGTTGCAATATTCTGTGTAGAAAATAGAAAACTTATAATAGAGGAGATATTTACATTGAAAACTAGCTGCTGAGATGGACATTGCACCTCCACTCAAGTACTCCCTCAATGCAAGAACACTTTGTTCTATTAAATTGGCATTCCATGATGCTCACCTTCCCCACACAATTGCTGAAGACAAAGCAGGTACATAAGCAAATGTGGTGAAGAAAGCTGATGGTGCCCAGCTATCAAAAGACATAGCATCTGGGGTCTTAAAGGCTTGAAGGTAAACAAGCAGCCATCTAGCTCAGAAGTGACAAAACTACATGGAAGAAGCACAC